GCGGGTCGTGAAACTAACATGATTAGCGACCTAGAAGAGCACTGCAGATGTAGTGAAGAAGACAAAGAACGTCCGACTCCGTGCCCACCCTTTCGACTCGACGATTATGCCTGCCCTAACGTATGCAGCCCTAATCTGGTCGCTACGTAAGCAGGATGAAAGATCACTTGGCGTTATTGAACGCGCAGTCGAAAGGTCGATGCTAACGGTATCCCGTATCTCGCAAATGAGAGAAAGGATCCGAAGTTCCGACCTGCGCCAACGATCGAGACTCGGAGGCGCCGTTCTACACGCCAGGATATCGAAAATAAGGCGGGCCGGACACGTGATGTGCTTCAACGATAACCGATGGACGAGAGCCGTTACCAACTGGATTAATCGGGACATCAAGCGCTCTACAGGAAGACCACCGACCCGCTGGTCCGATTTCTTTACGAAAGCTAAAGAAGAAAGATATGATGCTCAGCAAATCCCTAGAGCGAGATGGACCCACTGGGCTACTCTTGCACGCGATAGGAAAAAATGGAAGTGTTGCTGGTGCCTGCTTGAGTCACTCGACGACCAACGGGACGACGGATGATACAGGTGATGAAGTAGCAGCAGCACCGTGGTCGAATGGTTATGGTGCTCGTCGCGGCGCGCCTGGAGGTGAACTCGGCACCCCGCGACTCTCTGCCAGCTAAAAACGAGCCCAGTACGGAACGCCACTGTCAGGTTATTCGAGATTGCAACGAAACACGTTCAGCCAGTATTTCACGATGTTCAGGGAGAAGACGAAAAAACGAATTGAATGCTAAAAGTGCTAGCCCCAGCAGTCAGAAAAAAAAGCTATGAAGAAGGATTCAAATTCTCTAAATTAAAAAAGTGCGTAGTAGTACGAATAGGGATTTGGGAAGGCGAATTCTTCAGAGCGTCACTCATCGTCTTCAACTCTTTGGGAACGACGTGCATTTTGCCAAATGGCTGACTTCACTGGAACTTACGCTATCGACTGATTACTAATAGTATAAAAAAAGCGCTCTGTCCTACAATAAAAACACGTATGTAAGACACAAATATCTTCTTTTAATTTCAAAAAAGAATGATCTAAGCTCAAAAAGGAGTTGGTACGCCAGGGTCATACACCGGTGTTTCGGAGGTTCATCCTCCTCATCAGTGACCCCCGCCCCACATTCAGCCTTGCATTGAAGCAAGGAGGGGGGCGTATGTGGTGATGGCACAGTGTACTATGACACTGTACCATCACCACCTCTCAGTCGATAGATGCTGTTAAATCAAACTATTTAAAAAAATCGACTGTTTTTGAAACCCCCAAAAAACATTCAATATAATTCCAAAAAAGAATGATTTAAGCTCAAAAAGGGGTTGGTACGCCAAGGTCATACACCGTTTTTAACTAGTTTTGATCTAACAGCAAAAATCTATCGACTGAGAGATGGTGATGGTACAGTGTCATAGTACACTGTACCATCACCACATACGCCTCCCTCCTTGCTTCATTGCAGGGCTGAATGTGGGGCGGGGGTCACTGATGAGGAGGACGAACCTCCGAAACACCGGTGTATGACCCTGGCGAACCAACCCCTTTTTGAGCTTAAATCATTCTTTTTTGGAATTATATTGAATGTTTTTTGGGGGTTTCAAAAACAGTCGATCTTTTTATCTTCTTTTTGTCGAAGCGTTATAAAAGAGTCTTATCATAAATTAGGCACGTATTGCGCTAGCCAGAGACTTAGCCTTTTCAATGATTACTAAAACTTTTATGAGAAGTTTTTGCTTATCCAATGAGGTCGAATATTTATTTGCCGCTGTCTAACATATGAAAACCCAGTTTACTGCTTTGGAGTGATGGATGGCTTGGGTGAAGCTCGAGCGCGAGATTGAACCATCAACCTTGTGAGAGACGCAGGGCACTCCTAACCATTGCTCTACATGCGTTTCATGGGAGAGAGATTAGGAAACTCGATATGGAAACGAATGGGAACTCGTTCATTGACGTTTAACGAGGGCCGAGGAAGAGAAATCTCACTGAATGGCGTCATGATGGAAGTCCAGTGGCGTTAGATTAGATACAGGAAGTGCTTTGACAACGTTTGTCGCTTGGAATATTTCAGTGAACGTTATACAATGTGTATATCACCAGTTTGGTCATGTATATGCATACATATATACATACGTACATATATGTACATACGTAGATATGTATGCATATATGTATATATAGATACGCATACATATGTATATTTGTGCATATACACATATATGTACATATAAAGACTACTTATTGTATATGAGCTTAAAATGTAATAGTATGCAGAAAGGTGTGGACGATCTAATGATTATGACCCAAATTCTTTCGAAAGGACGAGAAAGGAGAGAAAGCTGAAATCGAAGCCATTTAAGGCTGCTTAAATCAAAGCGGATTAAGGTAATGATCTGTACCTGTAGAGCACGTGTACCTAGACACGAGTCTCTGTAAAAGATTTGATAATGTAGACAAAGGATAAGTCACTTCATGAATGCACTGAAATGAGAAGAGAAAACGCTGCCCATTTCAGCCGGCGATAAACCGCTGAGCTGTTTTATGGAACATGAGACAGTAGAGAAGTCCGTGGTGTTTAAGCTCACATCACAACAAATTCATCTATCATGGATCATTACCGCCCTAGATCATATTCGACGCTCAAGCCAACATTATGCTGAAGAGGAGACACAATCGAAGCCTACCATTTGAACTTAACCGTTTGAGTTGCGACGACCCAACCTGGGGTGTACAACAGACAAGTGCGCTCACTCCCAGCGTGGGAACGGCTCCACCTCCTCCTGCCACTCGGCACCCAACCATCGGGAAGACGGTTGCTGGTTCAATTCCCTACCACAGCATTTCACTGCAGTTTTCGTGCTGTCTTTTTGTTTCCATTACAGTGTGCTCAAATCACTGACATTCAAATCACTCCATTTATCGCTCCAATTATTTGATATTGTAACACTACAGCACAAGCGATCAAAGTATCATAATTTAACTATCACCATTTGTTATCTTGTAAGTATATTGTGCTGTTATAAGCTACAGATTGTTGAATAATTGGTGATGATTAACCACATACATTGATCGCTTGTGTTACAGCGTTATAATATGAGATATGGTGCGTCGGCGATTTGAGAGTATTGTAATGAAAAAAAAATGCTAATACCAAAAGAATACAGTGAAAAGTTGTAATAGAGGATCGAACCAGCAACCTTACTCCGAATGCATGGATGCGGAGTGGCAGAGGGCTGAGCAGATCCCACGCTGTGGGGAGATCCCTATCCAGTCAGACATCCCCAGTCAGGGTCCTCGGAAGTCAAACGCTCAAAAGGTTTGAAAAAAATTACACAGTGATCCAAAACACTGACTTTATATATCTCAGCCATAATTACTTGTAATACGCACATGATACATACATATTTATGTATGTACACATGGATAAATATACACGCACACATATATGTGCATATATACACACGTGCATGTGCGCATATATACGTGAGCACTAACATATGTATAAATGTATAAACACACAGATGTGTACATATATATACACATGTACATGCGTATATATACGTAAGTATATATATATATATATATATATATATATATATATATATATATATAATATATATATATATATATATATATTGAAGGCCTGTCCTTTGGCCGTTTGATGACTGACCCTGAGTTCACCTTCTTTAGAGTCTGGAGCTACACAGTATTTCATTATTTTGAGAAGATTTTGTGAATCATCAGTGTCCCTTGATACCGCTTAGGTGACGGCAAAGGATCAAACGGTGGCGCCATGTTACGAGTGCTTGTGCCGCAGTCGTCCATCCTGTTCATCCTGGATTTGCAACGTTTATCCAAAACACCTGAAGAGTTTTTAGCGTTGGTGCTTTCTACTCTTGGGCGAAGACCGTGGCAGTTACTCCAGAATCATTATCGTTCTGCTTTTATGCCCTGTGTATACTTATAGGTGTACTTTCTCGAAATTCAAACCGTCATCCAGATGCTCTTTTATGAGGACACAAAGTGATCTAGCAGCTTCACCAATGTGTTCATGGAAACAGAGAAACGCAGACGGGCCGGCCATAAGGTAAGAAGATCACATGAGAGATGGAGGAAACGAATCGTACAGTGGATTTCGCAAGAATACACCCGTCTCTCAGATCGGTCACCTACCTATCTACACGTTGGGCAGAAGCATTTATTAGAAAATTAATCAGCTGCACTATTCGCACCTGCCGATATTTCACAGGTCACGCTATGAAACTCTCGCCAGCCGCCACGCTCGAATCAAACCACCACCACCACGGACGACAATCGCGAGAAAAAGAGAGAAAGTGGAAACTACTATGGAAGTCGTGGTGGGATAAGCACTATTTGTGGAGGCGGACCATCCAAGTGTCCAAATGTGTTTCATCCCCTCATGCCTCAGGTGACATTAACTATACTGTGCGCAAACTCATACAAATCCTATCCTTTTTTTCAAAGAGCAAGTTATACAACTTCCTCAGTTACACAAACGATCACAGGAGCTGTGGACCACTTAAAGACGCAGAGTTTTAGATGGTAGTGCAATAGTTGTCACAGTATCCCTAAGTGAAATGAGTGGTGAGCAAAAATACGACATCAGACGGGAGTCGAACCTGCGTTCCATTTCTACCAGGAAAAGTGCTACCACTACACCACCGAAGCACATTTGAACTACTACTTATTCTTCAACAACTCTATGATACCTGTCAGCCACCAACCTTTACAGACTTGATCGGGTATGCGATTTCGTTTCGTAAACACTGCGAAAAATGCAGTAAACGTACTAAAAATTTTGACAACTAATTATTACGATGGTTGTCAGCTCAACTGGGATTATAAAGCGAAATCGCATACCCGACCAAACTTGTTAAGGATTGGTGGCTGACAGCTAACATAGAGATGTTGAAGAATGAAAGGTGGCGCAAATGTAGCTCGGTGGTATAATGGTAGCACGCGTCCCCGGTATGGATGAAACGCGAGTTTGAGTCCCGTCTGAAGTAGTATTTTTGATCACCATTCTATTCTCTTAAGGATATATGAAACATTCTCACACTGCGAAAAATGCTGCAAAAATACTATGAAGTTTTGAACTGTCACAGAACTTTCGAGACCATATTTTTTGAGACGTCTCTTATGGGCGCTACCAGCTTGTTTTCGATAAAGGACAGATTGAAACGGATCTTATCTGAGACCATTTAATGCTTTAGAGCCGTATTAAACCCTTTTACTTATCAAAACCATGTGCCAAACTGCTAGAAATGTGTGCACAAGAGACGAGTAGAGAAAATAATCGCTGAACTTGGCACGAAAAATAGCCATATTGAGCGACTACGACAACGGCTATGGCCATGTCCACAGTACACCGGATCAATGGAGTCAGTTGAAATAGTAGGGTCACGTCCTAAAACAAAACAAAACAAAACCTCGCACACTAGAAAAAGATCGCTTTCATGCTGCCTTTCAAATCAAATAAAGTTAGCTGGGCTATCCAGATGCACCTGAAAAGATGTGGTCTTGAAAGTTCGGTGACAGAATTGAACTTCCACCCACACCTTGCGCCGTCAACTAGTGCGCAGTCGCCTTTACGATCGACTGTGCCACTCAGAAGACCGTATAATCTGCCCTAACGGAAGGGAAGAGAATTGTATGAGTTCTGATACAGTGCATATAACATGTAGGGCATGCAGAAATGTATATATTGGTGAGACAAATGGACTACTTCATTTTCGCATAGAAAAACATATAGATAGGAGATCAAAAATCGATCAAAGCACTCCATATCGTCTGCAACGCAAGAAATCTCTTGACGTAGTAACATAGCGAAGAAAACGTTTATTCGAGAACCAGCAATGTGGAGCTGTAGCCAGAAGCTCAGCTTTTAAAAGGTCGCTAACGCTGCTATGACAAGTTCTTCTCCAGCAAGTAAGTTTGATTCTTCAATCGTCCATCCTATCACAGAGGTGAAAACATCAACGCGAAAAAAGCTTAAGGCGTCCTGGATAAACACAAAAAACCCCGAAAAATTAACCGAAAGGACGAACGTGTTACTGCAACACGAGGCTTGCCACCTTACGTGAGGCTAATCTTCTACTTTGATTCAGCGGGAGGTGATGTCTAGGCATCGATTCCGTCACCGACCCAGACGAACACAATGTACGTCCAGAATGTGAAGAAGGAGGTGTCGCCGAAATACCCACGATTTGTACTGAGATGTATGCCAACTCAACATTGACATCAATATTAACGTCAACAACATCTCGAGCCAGCTTAAACAGTTTAGTAATTGATACTTATATTATTGACCTTGAAGCCGAAGTTAGTGAAAAGTCGATCCTTCAAACAATCGATGCCCAGAATCTGAAGAAGGCGGTGTCCTCCAAACGTTGGCCATCATAGCTTCACTACTACGACTGCTACTACAACAACTATACCAACCTTGCGTCAGTCAAAGTCTTTGGGGTTTACAGAACTCACCCTTACGGCTTTTGAAAAATTTTTAGGATTGTCGGAGTGATTCGCAGGAAAATCGGATTGATTCGTGAGACCTGAAAGAAATCAGAAAGGATAGCGTTGAGATCGAACACACAGACACAATTATTTCGAAGCCGGATTATCTTATCTCGCTTGTTGCCAGTTTTGCCTTACGGAAACTGGCTGCCAACGGCAATAGGAGCCCCGACCCGATTAGCAACATAAGGACAGCGTCCGAAGGCATCGACAAAGCGATAACCAAAACAAGGACACGCACAGAAACAGCTCGCATTCCTGAGAACTATCCAAATCGCGGGAATCTTTAGGAAACTCCTCGAAGATGGTTTGATCTATCGTAATATGCGAATGAACGCCAAAATAATCAATTTTTCGATGAGGAAGAGAAAAAATATAGATACAAAAATGGAAAGAATATGCCTGGTAATCATTTTTTGAGCCACGCATGTCAGTGGTCTATCAAAGAGGGCTGACTTATAGAGTCCCCTACACGTGTTTCTCTAAAAGTTGGCCCTCTTTGACAAACCACTACCATGCGTGGCTCAAAAATTGATTGCCAGGCATATTGGAAATTAGAGCTGTGGTTTTGAGAAAACACTCGAAACGAAAGATATAGAAAGAACACCTGGCTGATATGAGATGAATGTGATGGTGCGTGAAATTTGAACAGTGGGAAAGTCCCACGCACTTCGCTTAAAAGAAACAATCTTCATAGATTATCGCTGGAGCGCGGTTTCTTTCAACTGGTTATCACTGACTATCGAATTGACATTGTAGGACAAGCCGATACAAACATGAACGCATTTAACCTCACAGTAAATAATTACCAGTATCTTGCAAACGTTTTTCATGCTAACGCGAGAACTGAGTGATGAGCAAAACCACGACCTCAGTCGGGAGTCGAAACCGCGATTCATCCATATCGGAGACGCGTGCTACCACTACACCACCACCGGGGCACATTTGCACCACCACTCATTCTTCAACACTCTATGATAGCTGTCAGCCAGCCACAAGCCCTTTAACAAGTTTGGTCGGATATGCAGCGCTCTATAAATTTTCTCTCTTCTTCTTTTTTTTCTCCACTATAATCTTCAAATATCTTTGATATACCCAATAATGTGGAATGATGTGCAAAAAACATTTGCGTCAGCCGGGATTCGAACCCAGATCTCACTCTTTCCGGGAGCGTATGCTAACCGTTGCACCACCGACGCTCGTCATGCACCAGCACTTTTTCGCTATCGGCATTGAACCCACTTGTGCTGACAGATATTGGGTATCGACAATCAATTGAAATTCATTTTTTGACCGCTTATTTCGGTGGTATGATGTGGTAGCATACACAATAATGTGGAGTACTGTGCAAAACGAGGGTTGGTGGTGCAACGGTCATATGCTGCAGGAAAGAGTGAGATCTGGGTTCGAATCCCGGTTGACGCAAATGTTTTTGCACAGCACTCCACATTATTGGGTATACTAGCAGATCATACCACCGAAACAAGCGTTGAATAAATGAATTCCTATATCTTTAATATGGTAAGAAATCTAAAATACTTCAAGATCTCACCACCGCTAATGGCGGTGAATGAAAAACATTCAAGCAGAATATATTTCAGAATAAAATAAGATAGAATATGAAATGCATCTTGGTGGTTTAGTGGTAGCACGCGTCCCCGATATGTATGAAACGCGGGTTCGACTCACGTCTGAGGTCGTATCTTTGCTCACCACTCAGTTCTCTTAGGTATGTGTAAAACACTAGAACACTGCGAAAATTGCAGAAAAAACACTAGAAATTTTGAGTATTACCTATCAAAATGGCTGTTAGCTCAAATGGGTTTATAAAGCAAAATCGCATGCCCGACTAAACCTATTAGAAGTTGGTGGCTGACAACTAACATAGATTTGTTGAAGAATGAAAGAATGAGTGGTAGCGCAAATGTGCCTCGGTGGTGTAGTGGTAGCGCACGTCCCCAGTACGGATAAATTGCGGGTTTGACTCCCACCTGAGGTCGTATTTTTTCTCACCACTCAGTTCGCTTAGATATATATGAAACATCATTGCAGTGCGAAAAATACTAGAATTCTTGAGTATCATAGCTAACGACGCGAGATTTGTACTCTTTCCCTTTTAACAACACGGTTGACGTTTTAGTTACTTCGCCTTCCTCAGATTCTAGACGGGCTATCCACTTTTTATTTTTCTTTAATTATTTATTTTTTAACTTAAATTCTTTATTTTACTTCACATTTTAATTTTTGTTACATTGTTGTTTTCTTTTATTTTATTTTTATCTCAGTACTTCTAGCTTTCGATTCGTCACCTGACATGTATCTCCAACGAAGGTCTCCAAACATATCGCAAGATGTGCGACTGCTGCTTGAGGATATCTTCTGCTTCATGAGGGTCCTAAAGTAGTGGTCGCGCCGATCTCCTCGCACTGTCGGTATCTTGGACAAACTTGGGACAGGGCTTTCTTAGGGTCATTCGTTAATTTGCGCCGAGCATCACAATCACATCGACTATCCCCGTCCCCATACATCGATATTATATAGTTGAAATTCTCTAACTGAAATGAACAACGAATTCAACAGCCCTCCTACTTATATTAGCCTACCGTTCACTCGTTCGATGGAGTAGGATTTTAACTGCTTACTACACACACACTACGAGCAATTTATGAACTTACTATGCACACACTACGAGCAATGAATGAACTTGCTCAAATCAAAAAATTAATTGAAAAATGACTTGTTATAATCAGATTATCTGTGTTTTTCCCTATCCAGGGCTCGTGCTCTAAGCCGCTGGAACGGGTTAGACCACGTGCTATCGGATAGAGTGAAGTGCAGGTTCGAGTCCAAACTGACCCAAAAGTTTTGTGCATCACTCTTCATCATTTGTTTAACATCATACCACCGTTGGAAATGGTTGTGGAAAGAATATGTCTTTCTATTCACTTTTAACTTTCGAAATCTATCCAAACATCCTGAGTGCTTGCACGATGGTTACAAAATCCAGTTCATAATTGGCCACATCCCTAGAGTAGACTCAAAAACACAAAGCAATAAAGTCCTTGAGATTTTCTCGACTAATTTTGAAAATCTAAAGACGAATGGAAAGCAGGAGTTTCTGGTTACGAGACGTAATGTGGTTGCGCCCTTACTTGATGAATTGCTAGTCCTAAGCTCATTGCCAGTAGTCTGTGAACAGCACAAGGGTGCCCTTAGTCGATCTAAGAAGTTAGATGGTGACCTTTTTCTTATAGACAGATTTTCGGAGATTTTTTCAATAGAATGTACTAGCATCTAAAAATTTTGAATGATAAAACATAGTAGGGAATAGTGGGGACGCTGTGGCCGAGTGGTTGGAATGCTCCTGGTGGCGCCTTTGTAGTGAACCCACCCTCAACATTCTCCGGCAGTGAACAACGAATGCCCCATAGAAGGCCACATCCAGGTTATCCTCGAGAATGCAAAGAGACCCGTTCAAGCGCACAGTTACTACTCTACGACATCCATGAAGAATAAAATACAATTGAATGCTGAAAGTACGGGGTCTGCACAGCTAAAAAAATCGTGTGAAGACTGATATTCAGGCACCTACAGTGAGAGCGTGCGGAATTGTACGATTACGCACCTGAGAAGCTGAATTCGTCAAAACGTTACCCATCGTGTTTGACGCTTTAGAGACGACGTGCATTCAGCAGAATGCACACTTACATCCTCAAGATTTTCTCCGTAGAATGCTTTCTATGTCTTTTGGACAGTCACTCGATACTCAAAAAAGGAAACTTCGACTGATCTTCTTGGTATCTACAAAGCTTTCTTGGTGTGCTGCACACAAGGTGCCACCACGCATTTCTCTGTGACTTTCGTGGGAGAGAGACTGAGAACGCTATTTGAAGAAAGAATGCAATCCGATCTTGAGGTTTGATGAGAAGCGTAGGCGGAAAATCTCGCTGTATGACTGCAACAGGGACGTCGATTAGCGCTAGATTAGATGCGGTAGTGCTCGGATACAGTCGAATTCTCATTTTGTCGATGAAAGCAGCACGAGGTCTTTAAGGGAATGGGAGGTGCTATACAAGGCATCGGCGAAGCAGTGTGGTCCAAAAGCGTTCCTGAATGCGATCAAAGGATTACAAATATATGCAGCAGTTGCAAGAGACTATTCTCGCTTCGATTATTTGAATGGATGCTACACGTCGTGCAAATCATCAGTTTGAACTCTATGCAAAGATTACTTAGTATAAGCTAGAACTGCAAGGACTATATGGATACTGTAATTTTTTCAAGAAGGTGGACGATTTCTGGATAGGAAAAGGGACCCAAATTTGGAAAAAAAGAAGAGAGCGAAAAGGCTGCTAATATTGGAGTAATCCAAGACCGTCTAAATCACACCAGTCAAAAAATCTGAATATTTGAGCTTCCCGCCGGCACTGCCGTTCGTCACTTAAACGGCGATGTCAGGGACCAGCAGCAGAGCGCACTTCCATGCATCCCTATTGCAAATCTCAAACCAAACCAGTTGCGAATAATTAGAAATCTTTTTATTTGAAGGCTATTTAGCGTTGGTACGATGTTACATATGCATATACAATGATGCTGAGCGATATGCAAACATTGATCGTCACTCAGAATCAAACGACCATTTCATCGTTTTCGGGCGCGCGTGCTAAGCAATTGCACCCACCGACATTCCAGTTTCTGCCATTAATTCATTCTTCGATAAGACGCATCGATTTGATAGCAAGTGATCGCCAGCAGTTAGGCTTAGCAAGCACATATTGCCTTTGATCCTGGTACGTTAGATTACGTTCTATCTAAGAATGAGTATTTGCTGAATAGGAGCTTAGGTAGTCCAAATAGTTTACACGCTTTCTCGGAAAGGATGAAATGCTGTTTCGATTTTCGTCCGAAGTTCACATTTTGCATGTCACAAGTAACAGTTAAATCAAATACGGAATGATCGTGCTCCAACCGTGCCAGCCGTCTTTTGCTTTTCAAAATTTAGTTGCCAGAACAGAGGCATCTACAAACGTATAGGAATTCTGTCCGTGAACACCGACAAAGACATGAGCGATAGATTACACTTGAGAAAATAGCTCAGTTTCCTTGAAATTATCCGAAATACGATAATCTTTTGGATTCTCTTCTAAACGCTTCAATCTATCAAAATGTGCGCATGGACATCGAAATAATCTAAGTTGTATGATAAAAAAGGAAAAAACCGATTCATTTGACAAAAAAGAAACAAGGTGGCGCAGAATTTGGATAGTGGAGTATCCGGCCCATCGTAACCTAAAGAGACAATGCCGGTAGATCGCCCCTGAAGCGCTTTTTCTTCTTACTGATCACTACTGCTTTAACGTCGTAGTAGGCTGAGAGAAAAGCTCTCCAAACTCGCTGAATAGCAATGGATCAAAAACTCTTGACATGTATCTTCAACTTGATCAAATGCTTCGAATCCGCGTCCACGCAGGAATGTTCCATTAAGCGGAAAAGATCAGAGATCAGACGGCGCAACATCTGGACTGTAGGCCAAGTTGAGGCAAGACCTCGACTCTCTCTAACTCATCGAACTTTTCCTTAGGCTTCTTTGCGAAATGATGTTTGGCAATGTCTTACTGAAAAAACGCGCGCTTTCGAGACAGAGTTCATCATTTTCAAATCGTTTCCACCGCTTAGCAACAATCACATGGCTCACAGTTCGTTCAAAATAGGGACCACAGCTTTCCTTCGCAGCAGCTCTTGTCGAAATGAAATACGGTCGCTTCCAACAGCAGCATATCATAACTCGAAGCGCACTTCGTGTCTATCGTCACCATTTGATATTCAAAGAAAAATCAAAATTTGATGCACCAATTAGTGTTGCCATGGAGTTTCTTATGGAAATATCCCTCGAATATTCCCATGAATTTACAATAACCGATCTGTGTGAAACAAACATAAAATTTGAATTTGTCGTTGGAGCTGAAGAACTTTGTCCTCAACCTAGCAGAATGAATATGACGCAAAGATCGTCTCAAACTGCTATAAGAACAATGAGATAAGTGGAATGACCGACTTTCACTTAATGCCCACATGTACGGTCAACTGTATCTCACAAACTTCATTGCTTTCTACCTAATGCTAGAGTAGTACTCTTCATCTCAAACACGGTAGATGGCGTTTTGGCGATCTCGTTTTCATTGGAGCTTGGACGCACTATCACATTTTTTTTGTGTGCGGATTCCAGTGTTTTCACCATTCAATTCCTTTTTAGTCTCCTTCGTGAACGCCTTTGTAGGCTGGTCGAGCACGTCTCCTTGCAATGTTTAGTATAGCCAGGCTAAGGTATTCCGTCGGGCGTTCGTCTACGATCGTCAAAAAATACTGGAGACTTGGATCAGCCTCTCGTCGGGCATTACATCCACGCACCTACAGATATACGATATTTTATTATTCGGCCGATATTTCCTTTTTCAATTGAAAATCTAAGTCAAAACGAGTAAAACAATTTCTCTATTGAGGGTAGCTTACCGTTTAATTTCTCAGATTGTTTTGGAATAGCTGAACGCTCTTCACACAATGTGAGCAATGTTCTTTACTCCAATTAGAAAATTATTGGGATATTGCTTACCATAATCAAGGATTCTGTCTTTCCATATAATTATATTTTTTTGACATGTTTTCAAACACCTTGAGAGTTTTCCACTCGGTGACGAATTGCACTGGATATTCACGATCGTAGGTAGGAGTCAAAAACGTTAGGCGGCAAATTATTCAAATTTTTCGAGAGAATTTCAAAAATACGTGGACGAACATAAAATTAGAGTGCCCGATTACCGCAGGTGATCTAGTGGCGCTTTACTTTAAATTGATTTTCGATCTAGTTTATCAGTAGTATGTGAACAGGACAGGGGGTTCGGACTCAATCTACGTAGTAAGACAGAAAATTTTTCTCAAAGAAAGGAGTTTTTACTTAAATAGTTGATTAGCTGGTTAGCACTTTGGCAGTTAAACTTCTAG